GATTAGTTATATCAGCATCCTCTAACGTCCAGTGATCTATTTCAAGATCAGTTACATTTTTGACTACTGTCGAGAAACTTGAGCTCAAAAGCTATAATTTTTTTCACCAAAATTGTTCCATGGACCAATCACTTGAAAATGGTAAACAATTTAGTTCAGAATTGACCCACTGGGTGGTGTTAGTGTCTTTAGAAAACTTTGTTTTATCAACTTTTATAGAATAAAGTTCACATGATATCCGAAGGGTCCGATCTTTTGCAATGCTGTTTAAATTACAAAATCAAACACTACAGTGTATATTCTAGTTCCGAAATTTTCTCACTAGGTGGCTCTAGTGTTCATGTGAAATTTGTGAACATGCAATATTTCATGATCCAATCTATAAATAACGTTTCTGTTTTTTGCAATGTTGTTCAGGAGGCCAAGGCCTTTGGAATCATGGACTCTCACTAGAAGGCACTAGTGTTCTTATGAATTTCGTGTGAACGCTGGATCGACATCTGAAGATCTTTGATATATAGAAAGTTGCCTGTTTCTACAATGATGTTCAGTATGAATGTTGTCAATTTAATTCGGTATCCTCTCGCTAGGTAGCACTAGTATCTCTGATAGATTCAAAGCTGTTTTTTTCTGCAGTGTTGTTCAAGATGTCAAGGCTCTTTTAATTGTTGACAGTTTAGTTCGGAATCCTCTCGATAGGTGTCTCTAGCGAATTTATAATTGTCGTGTAAATGATGGGTCAACATCTCGACGCAGAGTAGAACCAACAATCAATACGAAACTAACGATTTTAAATTGGCTCACTGCTTGACTAGCCTATTGGTCCCAAGCAAACGATTAACGTACCCCATTCTAGTCGAAATTCTAGTACTACGCAATGTTTGTTTTGATTCGCTATGAAAGTTTGACAGATAAAATGAGGGGTTATTGGTTTTTCCTATGTTTCGAGGGGTGAATCGATTAGCTTGGGACCGAAGAGAGTACCAGAGCTGAGCCAAAAAGTTGAGCACGTTATTTCGGGACCTTCTAGTCTTAGAGTTACCTCTATGGTAGAACAGCGAGCCAATTGGAGCAATGTCTAGGAACCCTCAAGAAACAGACAAACAGTCATCTACCGAGTTAATTGGCGCAACATTGTACAGCAGGTGATGTCTCACCAAAGGACGTTGCACCAGGAAATGCGAAAGATAAGGAACGAGAACCAAAACCCGTGTTTCATCACCGAATCACATAAGAATTGAAGAACAATATTATTGGCGGTTATATCATTGAGGTTACTCTAAAACTAGAAGTTCCCGAAGAAACGTGCTCAACTTTTTGGCTCAGCTCTGGTACTCTCTTCGGTCCCAAGCTAATCGATGCACCCCTCGAAACATACGAAAATCCACGAACCCCTCATTTTATCTGTCAAATTTTCATAGCGAATCAAAACAAACATAGTGTAGTAGTAGAATTTTGACAAGAATGGGATACGTTAATCGATTTGTTTGGGACCAATAGGCTAGTCAAGTAGTGAGCCAATTTAAAATCGTTAGTTTCCACCGGTTGGTTATATTGAGTACCTAGGTCGAACACTCCTGGACACGATTCGGGTGTCTCCAGGAAAGTGGTCAGGCCATAATCTGACATATCAAATGATGTGAAAATTCAGGAAACAGATGCTCAATGGTTATAATTAGTGTTCAGAACCACAATGGACAAATCCGAAAATGTTCTAGAACGCGCCGAAGAAGTGGCCATAAGCTCACAAGATCCAAAATCGATCATACAATACATCAAATAACATTATAATACTGTGATTTGTTCAATGCCTGTTACACAATCGGTGCCTTTTGTTTTCACCGCTGAAAAAAAATCAAAATGATGGGAACAAAAGAAATTGATTGGATTTCTTTTCACCGCTGAAAAAATTATAAAAATTATGGAAACAAAAGAAATTGATTGGATTTGGCTTTCCTAACAGAAGTGCGAATCCCACCATACGAATCCCGTAGAAACGGAGGAGAAAGCGGTCTTCATTATGTTCAAAACGGAAAAATCAGTGCAGAATGAATAGGCGATTTTGAATCGAAACTCGGAAAATCTATTACTTTGGTCGGATGAATCGATGTTTTAATCGATTTCAAACACACCAAAAATCGATTGGATCGATCATTATCGTTCGATATTTGGTTCCGAATTACTGAAAAATATATTTATATAGGTATATGGGTCATTCCAGTGGAAGCAGTTATATGACGAGCACCTCAACGGTGAAGCAGCAGAAAACGAAGGTGGCACGGCAACAGACCTTGGAGCACGCGCAGAAGACGACAGGCTACCCGCCCCTGATATTCAAGAAGTTGAGAAGGAGATCGGTTGGCTGAAGAACAACAAAGCAACTGGTATAGATCAACTACCAAGTGAGCTATTAAAATACGATGGTGAAGCACTGGCTAGAGCACTGCACTGGGTAATTGCCAAGATTTGGGAGGAGGAGATATTACCGGAGGAGTGGATGGAAGTTGTCGTATGCCCAATCTACAAAAAGGGCGACAAGTTGGATTGCTGCAACTACCGCGCGATCACACTGCTGAGCGCCGCCTACAAGCTACTCTCCCAAATTCTATGCCGCCGGCTGTCACCATTTGCAAGAGACTTCGTGGAGCAATACCAGGCGGGATTCATGGGTTCATATTCGCGATTCGGCAGGTTCTGCAGAAATGCCGCGAATACAACTTGTCCACACATCATTTGTTCATCGATTTCAAATCCCCATACGACACAATCTATCGAGATCAGCTACGGCAAATTATGCACGAGTACGGATTTCCGGATAAACTGACGCGATTGGTCAAGTACAACATCGCGTTAGGAGGTGTGATCAGAAGAGTTGGGAAAGACATGAGTGGCACGATCTTCAGGAATTCCATTCAGCTTCTTGGTTTCGCCGATGACATTGACATCATGGCACCGAACTTTGAGACGATGGCGGAAACGTACATCAGACTGAAGGCTGAAGCTAGGCGGATTGGACTTGCCATCAACGCATCAAAGACAAAATACATGAATGGAAGAGGTTCTAGGGAAGACAATGTTAGCCTCCCACCCCGAGTTCAGATTGACGGTGACGAAATCGAGGTGGTCGATGAGTTCGTGTATTTGGGCTCACTGGTGACCGCCCAAAATGATACCAGCAGAGAAATTCAAAGACGCATTATGGCAGGGAATCGTGCCTACTTTGGACTCCGGAGGACGCTCCGGTTGAATAAAATTCGCCACCGCACGAAGTTGACTGTCTACAATACGCTGATTAGACCGGTGGTCCTCTACGGCCACGAGACCTGGACTATGCTCGTAGGCCATTTTTTGACAATTTGGATACCTGCCGGTAATCAGTTTGCTTACTGTAGTTACTATACACACTTAGAAAAAATCATGTAAATTTAGGTGCTCTGAGAGTGACATATACGAGCGTCAATTTTGACATAAAATTGAGTCATAATAAACGCGAAATTTAGCTCAATCAAACGTACTTTTAGTCGAGTAACGAACTTTTCAATCTCGGAGCACTTAATTTTACATGACATGTTTGTTTACGTCTCATCCTTTATGTCAAAGATGGATTCCGTCACGTGTAAAATTAGGTATTTCTAAGTGTGTACCAAAAACAAAATTTGGGCACACCTATAAAAATCTACCTTAAAAACCTTCAAATTTACATTCTAAGATCACGAATAGCTTATTTGGTTGTGGAGTAATCTCTTCTGAAAGTCTAAATTAAAAAAAAATCGGAGATCCAGGGTTGTAACCCAGAAGGATCTAGGCGCTTTAGAGCAAAATCAAAAAAGGCGTTTGTTCAGAATGCCAAAACAAGCGTTTTGGCCAAGTTTGGCTCAAATCGGTGACATCGACCACAGGTGGTGTACCCACTTGAGCTGGAATGACCCATATAGTTAGATCTCGATTATGGCAACATATAGTGTTTGCTCTTTTGGCTTCCTACTGGGTTTATTATTCCTTGGACTCCCGTATAATGATAATAATAATAATAATAATTTAAAATAAAACATTTAGTTTAACGATACAGTGTTTGGTATAATTTGATCGTGTCATCAATATCGAGATCTCACTGTTTGCCTAGGTTCGATTCCTCGACTGGTCAAGAATATCTTTGGATTTGAATGCTCGACTCCCTCGAAATATTTCTAGGGTCAAGGTCTAATAGATTTTTGTCAACGATTTAAAAATATTGCACCATTATTTCAGCAACACATATAATTGAATCAACAAGATGGTTATAATAATAATAATAATAATAATAATAATAATAATAAATAAACCCAATAAACCATTTTGTTGATTAAACAATATTTGAAACTACTATATATTTTTCTGCGTGTGCACATGGTGCATCATTGTGCTTGCCAAACAATAAACAAATGCATGCAGAGGACGACATTGAAGCTATCTATTAATAACTATGTTCTATCAATTCAATTCAAAATCATGCTATCACTTAATAACAATTAACAAACAATTAATAAGTGCTCAGAGAGCACTACTTGTAGAGTTGGCCAAACGCTCGAAAAAGAAGCGTCAACATCTAAAAGAAAAAAATATATTCCATACCATCCATGAATCAAAGTTCAGCCCATCGATCTGAACTGTCAATCAACTGTATAACACATGCTTATGTCTGATGATCACCAGATGTGTTTGGGTTGCTAATGTTATTCTTGTTGATTGATGGGTTTGCAGATAATTCCACAAAGTTGGAATAATATCAGACAGTACCTCCAATTAAAATACCTATTGCCTAGTAAAGTTCAAGTTCGCCGTCAAGTCGCTTCTCTGTGGCCAGAATCCAACTTCCATTTTTTGGCATCAATTCCGTAAACATGCTCAGACTCCCCTCAAACATGTTACACCTGCCCCAAAAACACGCTTCAAGTTCACTAATGGCTTTCCTCATGGTCACTTAGCATTTTAGCATGCATACATGTATACCGCCGACTAACCTGCTCTACTTGGTCCTCCCTGATGTGGATGATCTCTTTGCCGGCTTTGATCACGTCTTTCAGTCCCTTGACTTGATTCTTCAACTGGCTGACCTCACTCTGGAGCGCCAAAACTTCAGCGTTCGTAATTTGCAACTGGAACTGCACTTCGGCCAGTTCCGCCTTAAGATGGCGGAACTCTTTGTTTCGGGCCTGTTGAGCAGCTTCCTCCTCTTCGGACGGCGTCTGGAGGGATTGAATCTGCGTTCGCAGCTGGTCGATGACGGACTGAAGCGACAGGATCTCACCGTTTGCCTGCTGAAGCTGCAGCTGTGATTCAGCCAGATCACACCTCAAAGCAAGACGCAGATCATCGCCGTTTGATGTGGTTGTATCGCTGGGACTAGAATTGCTTTGTTCTGAGTGATTTTCACAGTCGTTGTGACACGTTTCCACGCGATCGCTTACAACTACCGCAATTTCCTCATTGCCGCTTGGTGTGATCTCCGGTGCTTCCTTTGTTTGATCCTGGCTTTGCTGGATGTAGCGTATGAGAGCGCGGTTCTTGGCTCGCTCCTCGGCCAAACCCTTCCTCAGCTGTTCCATCTCCTGTTTGATATCCGCCATTTTCGATTTTCGCAGTTCACGTTTTATGCCCAGTTCCTCGCGGAACTCAGCCAACTCTCGACATGTTTCCCCTCCATCGCACGATTCGAATCCATCCGGATCATCTTCACTGCCCTCGAGGCTTCCAGAGCGAGTTTCGTTATTTATCGTATGTTCTTCTGATTTATTACCTACGATTGCACAACTTTCATCCACAATCGTACCCGAACTGCTGCTACCAACATCGGTGTCATGTTCTTGCCCTGTCACCGCACCTCCACCCCCACCATCATCCACAGGCCGCGACTCGTCTTCCCGACTTTCGCGACCATGGGTCGACTGAAAACTGCCCATTTTTCCTGGCCCCTTTTATCCGCTCGGAAAATTAATCACCCTTCGCACTACTGCTGCAGTTGACCAATATTTATTCGCTTTCCCGCGGTCGTTGAGTCAAACTTTTCCCGGAACAATTATTAAACCATTGCGAAATTACACGCGCACGGTTTCGTCCTTTCGGACTTCAAACGGTAGGTAGGAAAATAAGCGAGTTGAGAAATTAAAGGAAAAAAAACGCACTCGATTCGATATGTAGGTACTGCAAAATAATAAGGAAAACTCTGCTAGTGATTTTCCCACCCGATGTTTTCGTATTTGAGCAATCGCGACGACTGAGCTATTTTTGGACCGGCAACGTAGGTATTTGACCGACAAAATCAACTCGGCGGACGCGCAAGTGAAGCAGCTGATGACGACGGTTGGCGTGCGCTTCGATGTTTTGGTGCGCGCTGTGCGAATCGAGAGCGATTCTGTGGCTGAGAAGGAAGAATGGCCAGCCCCGATCAATGCACCTAAGGAGAAATGTTCGCGGGAAATGTTCCAACGGCGAGGAACGATTGCAATACTTGTCTTGTGGTGAGCGAAAGCTGTTAGCCAGTTAGCTTGTGTTTGATTTTATTGTCTATTTTTAAATTTTCAGAAATGGTAGTCAATTTCACCGAATCTATTGCTTCGATTCCCGATTAAGACAGTTTTCGTGCGTGCTAGTCGTTAGGCCATAGAAAGGCGATGCAATGGTTACTTTCACTAGAGGTGGATTGATGGGATTAGATTTGTAATCTGCGTTTGAATTTACTTTTGTGTGCGAAGAATCTGTTCTAGAGATAAAATTGATTATCTTGCAATTAATTTTAAGATATATTTAACAAAGTTCATGCTTTTTGGAGAGTTAAGTGAATAAATATGATTGAGTACAAAACACTTGTATGAACCAACGAACAGTGGTGGGTCAAAATGTTTTAAATAGCACAACTCAGTTTGTAGTTTATATCGAATGAAATTTGAAATAGATGCACGCACTTGGAAAAATTCATGTAAATTTAGGTGCTCAGAGACTGACATATACAAGCGTCAATTAAAAAAATAGTCATGGCAGACGCGAAATGCAGCTAAATCAATCGTATTTTTCATCGAGAAACGAACTTTTCAGACTCAGAACACTTAACTTTGCATAAAATGTATGATAACGTATCATCCTTAACGTCGAAAATGGATTCCGTCACGTGTAAAATTATTAATTTCAATGTGTGTAGTGTTCAACTTGCACAAAGAAACTTGCTGACCATGTCAAATTATAACACTAGTTTACAAAACAACATAAAAAGTGTGAACTTTAGTGGTTGACCAACGTTTCTAATGCAAAATCCTACGCTGAATTCAATGCCGTGGTCAGAAAAAAATAAAGTAGAGCCATTTTTAAGATATACAAAAATTTTGATTTTTTGAATTTTGGACAAAAGTACGATTACTAAAATGTCAATATCTTTGGAACTAGTGCACCAATTTTAAATCTTTTTTTATGAAATTGAAGCTAAATAAATTTGCTATCGTTCACTGGAATATTATGTCTTAATTAAAAATTTAATTTTGAAGTCATTTAAAAATTTACAGCATTTTTTTTTTATTTTTCCTGCGAATTTTCCATAAAAATCTTGTTTTAATCAACATTTTTAATGGGATAAAAAGATTCAAAAAATCATTCCATAATTTATTCTTAAAGTCCATTAAAAAGTGGAGAAAATGAGCCTTTAATGGATGAAATCGGTTGGAAATTGTCGAAGTAATGAATTTTTTTGTAAAATCATGGAAATTGAATGTTCCAAGATTGGCCGTTGTCCCGCTCCTAGGTTCAAGCACCACTTCCAGTAAGCCTTTCTGCGGACGTGTACGCATACGGTGCATTTCACTCACACTACCAGCTGTCACGCAAAATTAAATGGGATATTTTCAACAATATAATTTACGCTAGTGTTTGTGAGACCGCTCGGCGAGAACCTAACGCAACCAACTCAATTTGACAGCTTTCTTTCTTTAACATTGCTTAACGATGTATACGACAAAACGTTAATTCAAGTGTAAAAATGATCCTCAAAAGTTTTGTTACGCGTGTGGCAACTATATATTTACAAAATCGGTCAATTTCACTGCTTCGTTGCAAACTGCATACAGGCTTTATTTTAAAATTGATCCTGGAGACTTTGACGAACCGTGGATTCCAAAAGTATTATGTAGTTCGTGCAAAACGTGCTTGGCTAGGTGGATGTCAGGCGCAAGGTAAATTGATTTTTTGAATAACTTTCATATAAACAATTTATGTACAGCATGGTAGTGCTTTGTTCTTTCCTGATCGACATTATCTTACTTCATCTATTTTTGATAAGTGTTAATGTCTTACTTACTAACTCACTTATTTGTTATCTGTCAGTCGCTATTTGTCCTTTGACGTGCCCGCCATATGGCGTCGACCGTTTTGTCATGCAACGGATTGCTATTTCTGCTTGACAAAAGTTAAGCAACAAGGACGTCACAAAACAGTTGAGTATCCACAAGTGGCTTCTATGACAAAACCTGTTCCACATTCAAGTTCGGTCCCGTATCCTGTTTATCCAAAGCGGAAACGAGCGCCCTCTGTTGAATCGACCGTTACAAAAAGTGAGGAGGAATTCAAGGAGGAATGCGAGGAAGACTTCGAGGTGGAATTGGAAAGAAACCCAAAACTGTTTACACAATCCGAATTTAATGATTTGGTGCGAGATCTCGACTTATCGAAGGAGAAATCTGAATTGCTGGCATCACGCTTAAAAGAAAATTCGCAGGAAAAATAAAAAAAAAAATGCTGTAAATTTTTAAATGACTTCAAAATTAAATTTTTAATTTAGACTAACATTCTAGTGAACGATAGCAAATTTATTTAGCTTCATTTTTATAAAAAAAGATTTAAAATTGGTGCGCTAGTTCCAAAGATATTGACATTTTAGTAATCGTACTTTTGTCCGAAATTCAAAAAATCAAAATTTTTGTATATCTCAAAAATGGCTCTACTTTAATTTTTTCTGACCACGGCATTGAATTCAGCGTAGGATTTTGCATTGGAAATGATCATCACCTTACCGAGTTCAAAAATGCTGTAAACTAGTGTAATTTGACAAAGAGCATGCAAAAGGGCGTAAACGCGATTTTCGTTAATAACTCACTAGAATTAACGTTTCTCGGTGCGTTTGCTGTTGCTTTTGATAGCCAATATTAGCTGTTACAACTCAGCATGGAACAAATTCTATAAAATTGTTTCGCTTAGCTGTAGCAATGCAAAGATAAAATCGATGAAGAGAATCGATCATCGCATATACGCCCTTATGTATGCTCATTGTTGAATTGTATATATAACATACAGTCAAGATTCCTATAGTACGGTTATAGGAACCGGCATAACGAATACACGTAGCATATGGGATTAGAGCTAATTGGGACCAAACACTGTTTGTACGGCAAGTGAAGAGGCAACTTCCTGATGTCTTCTGAGCAGTTATTAAGCAGAAAGTTTGCCACCTTTTGATTCAGTTTCCGGTAGGATACAAGTCTGGTCCTGTGGAAGATCTGGAATATTCGTAAAAGTGGTCAATTCCTGAAACTGATCCTAGAGCTCCGCGGTTTTTTTTTCAAAACCATTCATAAACGTCTTATCAGGATGAATTCGGAGTTGTGACGGGAATATGGACCCTGCGGACCACGAGATGGTTCACCGGAAGATCCGGAACATCAGAAAAAGTGGTCAATGCATGAAACTGATCCTAAAGCTCCGTGGATTTTTCAAACCACTTATAGACGTCTTATCAGAATGTATTCGGAGTTATGACCTTAATTTGGACTCTGGATGGTTCACTAGAATATCCGGAACATCCGTAAAAGCGGTCAATTCATGGATTTTTCGAAACCACTCATATACGTCTTATCAGAATGAATTCGGAGTTTTGACCGGAATATGGACCCTGGGGACTACAGGATGGTCTACTAGAAGCTTCAGAACATGCGTAAAAGTGGTCAATGCATAAAACTGATCCTAGAGCTATGCGTTTTTTTTTTCAAAACCACTCATAGACACCTTATTAGATGAATTCGGAGTTGACTTCAGAATATGGCCTCTGGAGACTACGGGATGGTCCACCGGAAGATCTGTAACATCCGTAAAAGTGTTCAATTAATGAAATGGATCCTTGAGCTCCACGATTTTTTAGAAAGCACTCATAGACATCTTATCACAATCAAATCGGAGTTTTGACCAGACAGTTTATACTGGGGACCACGGGATGGTCCATTAAAAGATCCGGAAGATCATTGAATGTGATTAATTCATGAAACTGATCCTAGAGCTCCACGGTTTTTTTTTTTCAAAACTAGATGATGTTTTAAGCCATTGATTAAATTTTGATGCGATGAATTAAAAATATTAACATTGAAGCTAGTCCCTCGTTAACTTGTAACTCCAAAGAAACATCTCCAAGAAGTCAGTGGAAATAAGTCCATGAAATCCAAGGAATAACATTCAAAAGTTCTGTTAAAAGTGTCTGGAAGTTATTAAATATTTAAAAAAAAACCACAGAATGCTTAGATCACTCTGATTATAGATTGACCTATGCACTTTAACGGATGTTCCGGATATTCCGGAGGACCATCCAATGGACCCTGTGGTCCATTTTCCAGTCACAACTCCGGGTTCATTCTGATGAGTTGTCTATTATTTTCCAGAGGAGCGTTCATGGTCTCCAGGGTCTATTTTCCGAGCATAACTCCGAATTTATAATTATAAGACGTCTATGAGAGTTTACGAAAAAAAAACGGAGTTCTTGCATCAGTTCCATGAATTGAGCCTTTTTACGGATGTTTCGGATCTTTCGGAGGACCATCCACTGTACAATGGTCCCAAAGCCGTATTTAGGAAAACAAAATTGTTTGCGCCCAAACCGTCAGTTTCAGGTATATAGTGTCTTCGGGAAAGTTTCTTCATATTGTTTGGCCGATCTTTTATGTTAGTGAAATAAGGGTGGTCCACAAAATTGGAGATTTGAAAATACAAACTTTTGTTTTGACGTAGGACTACGTCTTTGATTTCTATATGGGGGCACACTTTGTGAAAACCGAAAATGGAACATGTAACAAATTAAGAAAGATTTTGAACGTTATTAACTCAGCTGCCCCTGGTCCAATACCAATAATTTTATCACCAATCGATCAGAAATATGGCTACGCATCGATAACAATGCTTCCGAATGTTGATTTTCAACAAGAAACTATTGAAAAACTGGTAAATGTCCAGCATTGTCCAAAAGCGTCGAATTAACTAACAAATCAACCAATTACCTACAT